TCAAAACTTGTTAAGTTTATTATTCAAGCGACACGTGAGGCATCTTTTCATAGCTTAATAATAGCCGTCGTATCAGTGAAAGTGTTATCGATATAAACGAGTCGTTATTATATTTGTTTTGTCTGTTTTTTATTCCTATTTTGTATTATTAGTGTTTTGAAAACCTCATAAATATTTCTAAGAAATTGAAGTCAAACTCTTCTTATTAGTGAAAGAGTCAAAATCCTAACCAAATAGAGTCAAAAACTTTTACATTTCATTATAGTGCATGATATCTACACTACAGTACAGTAAACTATAACTTAATGAACCTTATATTACTATATAAAGTCAAAGAGTTAAACATCTCATAAAACTCTCATAGACTATCTTACTAAATAGAGTTTCATTATATATGTAATAAAAATTTTAATTGTTATAAAAGATAATATGAATAATAAATAGTGAATTGCTTCAATTCTTGAAGAAATGTTAAAGAATTGGACCTTATTTAGCAAATTCTATATTTTATCTCAAATTTACTTTCAAAAACAAATACAAAATACTGCACTATAAATAGACTTAGAGATTAACGTATTTATTGATATGACTTTTTTGTAGACTTCTTATAAATAATGTGTATAGAAAACGTTTACCTAATATCTCGTGCTATTTACCTTAAATGGCATAAAAATTATATAACATATTTATATATTAAATTGAAAGAAAAATAAATAACAAATGAATAGGATGTACCTTTTATTAATAATATATACTTACTGTACTGAGTGCTATAACTGATAAATTTATATTTTATTAATTCCGCTAACGAATTTATATTCAGTATTATACAACCTATTTTTATAAATAAAATTGTCTTATAAAGCTTTACAAAGATTCATTTATATTATTGATTACCCTGTATCGTATATAAATCAAAGCTAAATATACTTGAAATCAATTGTTATCCAACATTTAGTAAATAATATGATATTAAGATTTAATGACATTTTTACATTAATTGGTCCAACTATTATTGCACAGCTTGAATGTAATTTTTATTATAACAAAATAAAACAAAAATCATCTAGGATTAGTGTGTAATCATAAATATCCTGTTGATATATAAAGCTATAAAACTATGCAGTTTAAATTTAAATTTATAATATTATAAATTATATTGAGTAGGTTTAATAAACAAAAGTAAGTACTGTATCTATCAATAAGATAGTTTAGCTATTTTGAATGTTTTTGTTTTGTATTTTTTAGCAATTTTATTGCTTTGTCAATTATTTTAAGGCAAAGATTTTAAACTGATTAATGTATTGTCTGATTGAGTTGTCTGTGAATATCATATGACATACATTAAAGAATTAAATGACAATGTTCTCGTATAATTGTATTCTATGAGCAAAAGTACAACGAGAAAGACAACTATAATATTGTTTATGCAGAATATGTTCACAAATCGATAGTATGTGTCGACAAACATATAATTTGATCAGTCTTGTTTTAAAGTGATATGATCTATTATAATGTATCAAAAATATTTTTAATAACAAATGGCATGTTTAAAATAATTTAAAGTGTTATTTATAATATGATAGCATTAATAAATGTGTTGCAAAAAGTTTTGAAAGATTGAAACACTTTCAGGAATGGACGGCATATTATGGTATTTATTTTTCTTGGTTATAGATATTTTACATTATATTTTCATAGTTATTCTCTGCTCATGCTAATATTAGTTAATATACATTATTATAGTCAAATATGGAATTTATTTGAATGAAAGTGGATAATTAAATTTTGAAAGATTTATTGGGCAATTAATTTAAATAATAAAAAATAAAGGTAAATATAAATTATCACAAATAAAAGTGATTTATCTAAAAGATAATGTAAATTATTTCAGTTCTTGATGTCTTTATTTTAAAGCTAACTGTATTACAACTTAAAAATTTTTAGTATTATTTTTATTATAGTTTGAATTATATTTTTACATGAAATTTGCATAAAATAACAAAATATTACTTATTTTATAATTATATGTTTATTTAAGNATGTCTTTATTTTAAAGCTAACTGTATTACAACTTAAAAATTTTTAGTATTATTTTTATTATAGTTTGAATTATATTTTTACATGAAATTTGCATAAAATAACAAAATATTACTTATTTTATAATTATATGTTTATTTAAGACTCATTATCTTAAAATCCTAACAATTATTTCTCAACATTATTATCCCTACAGTTTTAATATTAAAATTGCAATTTAATGAAAATTGTGATTAAGACATTCCCATAAAATATTTGACAATATAATTACTTAATTTTCATATAAATAATTATTTCAAAAATATTAATTTAATTACTATAATAAATAACTATTAACAACTAAATGAATTAAACACTCAAACAAATAGCAATGTATTTTAATTGGAATTGGCGCTTCTAAAATTTTATCTAAAGATTTATATATATGGTATGACTTATAAGATATAACTATAACTATAAATATAACCTTTTGTACTATTATTTCTATTAAACTTATTGCCTGGTTACATTTGATAACTCTTTACGTAATTGCGATGGATTCATTTTATACATAATGATATTTTTATGTAAACAATTAACTATTTTTTGTTTAGACTCAAAGCGGAGTATCTTTTAAACAAATAATATTCTGTGCAACAAATACTACATTCAATATCAGATTTTTATTAAATATATAAAATAAGATCCGGACTCTTTCAGTAAACATGGTTGATGATTTTCAAACTATGGCTTATGAAAAGATATATGTGGATAACAATGGCAATGATGTGGTCAGTGAGATAGATAAAGAGATGGACAGGCTCAGGATTGAACAAATTAAAGCTGAATTAATCCAGAGCTCACAGGAGTTTGAAACAAAAAATCACCAAATCAATGGTTTCATAAAGCAAGGTATACCTTTTGAATTATCTTTTTGAATCGATAGTTGCAATTTTAATGTTTATTTTGTATAATATTTAATCACACACCATTGCAGTTATGCAGCCATGCTATGCCTGACTTTAGTTTAATTTTTAAAAATACTTTCAATTTTATTTATTTTAAAATTATATTTTCTTACATAAATTATATAGAAAATAATGTATAATAATATTAAATATAAAATTTATTAAATCTATATTAACATATTTCAGAAATCACTGCAATAAATATTGGTGAAGAGGTTCACACAAATACCACACCATTTGTATCTGATTGGGGGCACCAATTCAGTCCCACATATAATCAATACACAAATATGAGTCCAAACCATAGTACAAACAGCAATTTAATTGAATCAGAAAATAGTAATTCCGTACAAATAGACCAAGAATTGGATTTGGACTCTATATTCCTAACATGGGGTCAGCCCTCCAATGACTACTCTCAGTCAAACTCATCTCAATTACAACCAGCGGTCGACCAAATGCCTGTCCACCACAATATCGCCCAGACATCATACGCGCGCAACAATGAGAGTCAAGATTTCGCAATCAATGAGCAATACATACCTGTGCCACAGAATTCGGCTTACATTCCTCATGAGAACTCCATTTTACAACAACAACAACTACAACATTCCCCACACCATATAAATAATGACATACAGGCGCATCACTATATCGGTACCAATGATAATATGTCAGCCGGTGTACCAATTGTGCCAATACCGGAATTTAGAGAAGTACAGGTGCCGGCAAAGATAAAGACGCACAGAAAGTTAGGCCGACCCCCGGAAAATCCCAATAGAAGAGTGTTGTCCCCCGTCATCAAAAGAATGAGAATAGAGGCCGAGGAAAGGCGTCTACTGATCAGAAACCATGAGCTCAAATGGAAAGTACAATATCTGGTGAATGAAATGCAGGCATTGAAAGCCAGATTTGTCTCACAATACGGATATATACCCAATACGGACACCATATCACTAAACGGTGCAAACGGAATGCCTGATCATAAAGTCAAGTGATCCAGGTTAAGAGTATTTATCGTATTTATGTCTTTATATTGATATATTGGAAACAATATTTTAATGAAAATATAAAAACAGTTTATGATATTTATATAATACTGTATGGACTGATCGCTAAAAATAGTTCTAATTGATTATTTTGTAGTCGATTTTGTGAGAGCATAATTTCATAGCAGACCCTGGTCACCCTTGATCTCATGACATTCGTATCCTTGCCATTACCCTTTCTATTCACTGAGAGTTATAGATAGCAGATAAAAGTCCCAAACGGGATATGCAATATTGGATTTTCTATATTTTTACATAAAAGCCTATAATATTAATCATCTTTATATAAGACAATTTTATAGTTAGAGTAAGATATAAAGGGTGCATTTATATTTATAGTATAGATTCTAATAAAGTATTTAATATGCTTCATAAAGTACAACATAGAATCTATGCCTAGCTATAGCTCACACCTTGGGTTTACCCTTTTTTTTAATTCACATTCATTTTATCAGTATTTATTATAAAGTATTTTGTTGTTAATAAACTACAATAGTATAAAAGCTATTTTAGGTTTACTGTTGTTAAGGTGTTGACAACGAAATTAATGTTTTGATTTTAAATTAATCTCAAATTTTATTCAAAACAATAATCATTTAATATCTTATTTATGTCCATTCAATGCGTTTCAAAGCATTTTAAAAATAATATTTATTTTTGCCAAATATTTATGCTCAAGAGTACTTGTCAATTCATTTTAATGTTTATTAAATAATCATTAAATTGATTATTTGATTAAATTGAGTATTTATTTATTTAATATAACTTAATTGTTAATTTTTAAATAATAAATTTTAATTAAAAGCATATTATAAACTTTTATGCATATGTAAATAATTTTTATAAAAATTAATTTAAATATTGTAAATAAATTATCAAGTTATTAACAGAAAAACGCTAAAAATAGTAAATTGCTTATGATATCTTTTTGTTGTAAACTGACTATAGTGAGTACACGTATAATGTACATAATTTTATACTTACAATTTATTTTATTTTAATTTAGTGTATTTAATCATTTCTTAAATAAATATAATGAATTATTTGTTTTAAAAATGGTTGAAACTATTTGGCATTATATCAACGATTAAATTGAATTATTTAATAAAAATAATAAATCTATTCATTTAATAAAGAATGTTTTTAATTATTTATGTAATTCAATGTCATTATCATAAGTAATTTGAAAATATTATTGAGAACCAAATTGAGTCACATTTTTCGGTTATTGTTTGAAAGTAAAGGAAATACTATTGACTCCAAAAATAATCAAATTGAGTTGATATGAATCAGTTGTAAATATGTTCCCAGAATTAAATGTCATTCTTTAAACATTGTAGACATTTTTAACACATATTTAGCGTTTCTCAGCCCACTCTTGATACACAATATTCAAATAATACAAACAA